AACCATACAGTAATTCACTGGGTTCCATAACAACCAACAAGAAACAACCATCTTTCATTAACAAAAAATCTATAATTTTCATAAAAAAAAACATAAGCTTCATATTAAAACATAGAAAATCAACATATTCATGAGAAGAAAAAGATGGGAAAAAAAAAATTCAGAAAATGTCGGGGCTGAGCCCCTGTTTTTTGTGCTAGGAAAAGAAGAAAAGAAAGTTCTTCCTTMTTGGTTCAGGTTTTGAAGTCCTTGAGGGTTCAAGACAGCATACACCAATATATGTGTKGATAAATCACTAACAAATAAGAAAATAATAAAAGGAAACTAGTATATAAACCCACAAAATGAACATTTTAGTTTAATAATGCATAATTTTATTATTATAATCTCAAAAAAAATAAAGAATATAAAAGCATTTCATGGTGCCATATATAAACTACAATAGTAGGAGATTAAGTGTGATGACCCTCCAAGAGCGCCTTGTCACCTAGATGTTGCCTTTGACAACTATATTTAATAAACAAATGTTAATGGGCTTACATTGCAGGCAATCATCCAAGGAATTGCCACTCAGTTTGGGAAGAGTTCAAATGCAGATATGTTCAGTACAAAACCTTTTATACCATATTTCTAAACCTTGTATTTATTTATTTTTGGTAAGTTATTTCTAAACCTTGTATTTGCACTGTACATATTTTATTGACGAGTTATTTGCACTGTACATAGTTGTATTTGCCCTCTTCCCAAACTGAGCCTAAGGAAGAAATCAATCCTCTCCTAGTGTGCCATTAGGGTTCAGATGCTCCTGCAGTTGAATTGAATCACTGCAATTTCGCTAATTATTCACCGTCAATGGATAAAGATACCGACATCTGGTAGTTACAATCACCTCTAGCAGCACTTCTTACTAATGGCAATATTGCCTCGTTAAAAAAAATCAATGAAGATACCACAACATAGTAGCAGATGCACACCAGATAAARTATCTCAATTCTCATTCCTCACACATGATGCCCCACTCCCCTACAGTGTTGGTCAACAGATAACTATGGAGAAGACAAATACAGCAATATCCTCAAGAACAACCTTTTTCCAGTTTTGAAGTTACCTTGATCAGTGGTATTATGTGGCAAGAGGAGCCCATTCTTGTTTCCTGCCACCAGAGGTAAGGTAAAAGATGAATAATGAAAATTGATAGAATATATAAWATATGAGCTTCTAACCTAAATGGCTTCAGTTTCCTACCAGCACATAGCCGCCCAATAATTCTAGTGCCTGCTATGGATGTTTTAACCACAGGAATAACACCAGCTAGTTCAGATTCAAAAGTGCTGTGGGAGATTCAAAAAGCCGTTAGCATTGTCTTAAAACTAAGGAAAAAAATACTGCAAATGAATCAGGGTTCATACAGCACAGATGTATTGACCTGTAAAARTTTTCTGATCCTCCAATTGCAACCAAACAGTATGCATTGGTCAACTTGGAGAAAACCCCAACTTCACAGTTGTTTTCAAACTGAAGCCCTGAACAGATTTGATTGGTTGTTAAGACCAATTCTTGAAGGTGTACCAGATTCTATTTTTGGATGGGTAATCAAAAACTATTAATAAATAAGAGTGTAAACAGAGACATACAGAAAGACCACAGCGGAAAGCTTCATAAGTTACCACCCGATACACCCAAAATGTGAGACCAGATATAAACAAAAATTCTGCAATTTAGACCCTTGAATCATTAAGAATAAGGGTCCAGTCCATCAAATGATGACAAATATAGGACAATGATGTACTAAAGACCTATGAATTTCCTGACTCTTCTTTTCTTTCATAGTCATCCAAATAGGAGTTGAGAGTAAAAACCTGATTACAAGAATCACAGTTAATGGKGAGGTGACAACTGGGGCTGAATGAGAAAAATCAGGCAATCCTTTCCACTTTGAAGTATTCACTACCTCCCTATCCCTGATGAGAGTTCTTTGGTTTTTTTTTTTTTTTTTTTAAGCTGGCAAAAAGTAATATGAATATGCAAGGGGAGGGAGAGAGTCACCCTCCATACACAACTGAAAATAAGAACTACTCAAATAGAATCATTATGATTTACAATGATATACAAAGATAACTCAAAATAATTGATCTCCAATCATTTGTGAAATCAGTCGCTGTAATTCCAAAAAACTGGGATAGAATCACCCTAAAGAGAACACAACCTGGACCGAGAGACCTTTCAAGTTCAAAAAAGCAACTTTTCTAATGGGCAAAGATAAAACCCAAGTCAATATGGTTTCTAAGCAGGCTTCTTCAAGAGTTGCTGGGAAATCTTATAGAAGTTTTAGAAGAATTTCATACCCTATTTTCTTTTTCCTTTTTTTTTTGAGAAGGGGAGAAGGCGAGATGTTTTCATGCCATAGCTTTATGTTGAAGGCTAAATACCATGTGATTAAGATATTAGAAAATAATCAGCATTTTGAAGGCACCAAAATGATCAACTTATAAGTTGAAATTATTTGTAAAAGAAATAAAGTACGGTCTTTAGGAACAGTGAGGATGAAAGCAAGGATGATTTCCAATCTAAGGAAAACAGTTTTGAAGATTCCCTAGGTAACATAACAGCCTATGGTATTCTTTCATGTGCAATGAATACAGCCTTTATAACAATGGTTCTGGTGCTGGCTCTGTTATGCCTTTGGAAGCACAACTAAGTCAATCTTCTTAAATTCACTTAATTTATATTTTGACAAAATTCACTTTTTTTATAGGTAAAAATAAAATTTCATTAAAAAAAAAAGAATACAAGCTGATGGTGACAAGACATCACCCACTTACAACAAATAAAACAAGYTCCAGAATCAATATAAACTTTCCATATTACACATTTGAAATCCCAAAGCGCCCCCTGGGTTTGTTTACTCCCAGGTCCTCCTTGTCAAGTCATCAAGGCATATAGGTGATTCTAGGCAACGATGGATATAGGTTGAATTAATAGCAATTATTCTTTGCTATCAAGTATCAACATTTATTTCTTTGTGACTCTTGGAAGATAAGGGTGTTTGTCTTCCACTTGTAAATTTTCTACTGATGAATTAATGAAAGTGTTATTGATAAAAAAAAAAAAAGTATCAACATTTATTTTCCTCATAAGCAAATAACCCTGCCCCATCCAATTGTTTCACAACATTGGAGATTTCAAAGTGGTCAACTTGAATGTTTATACACCTTTCTCCAATTTGTTAATAATAGTTTGATTCAAAATTCCAAATAGAAAGTCATTTGAGAAGAATGAATATCAAAGAAATTCCCAATGCACTCTATTATGCTTTCATGTAATTTTATATGGTAAAGAGACTAAGAGAAAAGATTGTCCAATAAGTGCTGGGAGTAGCATGAACTTCCCAGTCCTAGGAGCACCTACAAAACTAAAATGTGAGAATCTAAATGAACAAGCGATTGTTCAGAGACTTACTGATTGCCATGAGATAGATGAATAACACAAATCAATAAAGTTGCAAGGTACAAAATCTGCAGCGACAATATTTAAACATAACTAACAAAACATAAGATGGTACTGAAACAAATACAGAAATATAACCAGTCCATGTATTTGATTACAAATATATTCATTTGATATTTGGACAAGTTTCTTAAAAAATCTTCCAGTGTAACTACAGAATGAATTTCAGAACTTCAACCCTACTACTAACCAAGAACAAACCAAGAAGCTCGTTATGTTTCATAGAGAAGACAATACAGAATTTGGGTCTAAATGGAGAAAAAAAAAATACTTGCATGATTAATGGGGAGAGGGGAACGAGAGAGTCGGAGGGAGAAACGAAGGGGAGCCTCCGGCTTCTATTTCAGTTCAGAGAGAGGGAGTGCAGAGACCTTATTTCTATTCAGGGAGAGAAGGATAACCCCTTATTTCTGTTCGAAAATAGAGAGAAAGCCCCTGTTTCCGTTCTTACAGCATAGCACATATAGAAGAAGAAGAAGAAGCAAAAACAGATTCTTCTACCTCACTTAATCTGTCTTCAACTTTTAAAACCCTAACTCGCAAGAAAGTGAAAAAATCGGTGGTAAATGGGCCCACTTTGAGCATAGCGAAAAGGGCTTCAAATGGCCTCAGAAAAAAACAAGGACTTCAAATCGGTTTAAGTCGAATTGAAATTCGAATTCGGTCTATTTAACTGTATCGAATGTGGATTTACCCATATCCGATCCGATATAATCGGATTCTTTATTTTGATATATATATATATATACTCATCAAACATGTGAATGAAATTTTGAAGATTAATTTTTGGTTAAGCAAAGAAAAATAATTTAATAACTTAATTAGCTTAAATGTAATAATTTAATTTATTATGCAATACTCAATTAACTTATCCATATGGAATATGGGTGTGAGTTTCTTCTTTTCTTTTTCCGTTTTTTTTCTTCACTACACAATGGGGTGTGAGTTGAACCATATCCCTTGTAAGTGTCAAATAATTTTATTATAATTTGTAATTTAAGAATTCATTAATAAAATTCAAAATTAAGTAACAAAACTTTACCACATAATTACATTAACAAAATTCACTTAATAATATTATTAAATTCTAAATAATTAGAATTTAGGTAAAATTAAATTACTTTTAATTATTTCAAGTAAATTTTATTAAAAAAACTACATTAATAAAATATAAGTTTAATTAATAAATAAATATAAATTCAAATCATATAATTTAATAAGCTTTAAAGTATTAACAAAATTTTAACTTTATTAATAATTAATAACAATTAACAAGGCTCATCTATCCACAAAAAATAATAATTGAATTGTACTTGAACCAAAATAACCCAATTAGAAATGTAATAAGGCTCATTTCACTTCAATTTCTCCTAAGTAAAACAATACTTAGAAATGTAATAAGGTTTCTTTCGCTTCAATTTCTCATTAACAAAATGCCTTCATCAGTCCTTCACAATAAGATACCCCACTTTGCATTATTTCCTAATGCTCCCTTGTTTACTTCACCACCTTGCATCTTTGGGTGTGTTTGCTTTGCTGATTTTTTTTTATCATCAGTGTAACAAGCTTGAACCTCATGTAGTACGGTGTCTTATTGGGATATTCAAAAAACACAAAAAGGGTACAAATGTTATAGTCCTCTTCATCATCACTTTGTTAGTGTTGATGTTACCTCTGCCTATTCCTCTTTGTGACCCTTCTCTACAGCCAACCAGTACTACTACTCTACCTTGGCCATCCATTGAACAAGTGTATCTATGGACATGGCTAGCTTCAGCTTTAACATCATTTGTCTTGCCATTTGTAGGTCCTGCTGACCCCTCTACTTCAACCATCACTCCAATTGTGGAGTAACATTCAGACCTTGACCTACCCATTGCCCTTCGAAAATGTAAGCATTCATGTATTGCAAATCCTATGAGTCACTTTCTTTCTGATCGGTCATTATCACTCTCTGCACTTCCTTTTGTTACTTCCCTTTCTATAGTCTTTATCCCTAAATCCCTATTGGAGGCCTTATCTGATCCTGGGTGGAGGACAGCTATGGAAGAAGAAATGTTGGCTCTTCATAAAAATGGTATATGGGATCAATGATTTAAAACTCACACAAGTGAGGCACATTTTAGGGTATGTTCCTTGCCTAGGCCCCAAGCATAACACTTTCAAAAGGCACACATCTAGTTCACTTTGCGCTTTAGCCCGGGTGAAAATTTATGCATTTGTTCTATTTTTTGTGCTTAGCAATTAGGTCAGGGGCTCCACCCCCCACTAAACCCCTCGAGGCAAGCCCGAACAATGCGCACATTAGCTCCAAAAACCCCATATTTGCTAAATGTTGCTTATTCATTCATCCTACTAAAAGATATTTTTAAAAGACACTTAAAAGTTATAAACCATTTTTATAGAGATTAAGAACTTAAGACCCTGGTATAGACTTGTTTGGGCTTACCTTGAGGGGCTTGGTGCAAAAGGCAACTCATACAATCAGGAATGCATAATGTTTAACATCACAGTAAGTGTTTGAAGTAATGCAATTGAGAAAAAATAAAGAGATTAAGAATTTACATGCTTGAATATGATTTATATGTTATGCTTGATTGTATTTTTAAATTTTCATTTTAAATATGTTTTATATGTTATTTTTATGCATTTTAATTTGAGATAATAGGTTTTTCTAAATATTTTAAATCTTGAGTTTATTTTTTTAATTAATAATGTGTTTAAAATTTTTAATAAATGTGTTTAATATTTTTATTTTTTTAATTCTTGACATTTTTTGAATTTTTGGAAAATTTTAAAGTTTTTTTAGCATTTTTGCAACCTCGGGCACAAAATGGCCCTTGCACTTTTTTTGCACATTGCACTTTTAAAGCATTGCATGTTGAGGATACTTTGAGGTAACTTTCTCTCTGATTGCTAAGATCACCTTTGTTTGTGTTGTTATCTCCTTAGTTTTTTTTTAAAGTAAAAATGAAATTTCATTAAAAGAAAGAAAAAAAATTACATCCTGATAGGTGATAAGGCATCACTCTCATACAATAAGAATAAAAGCTATCAAAGCAACAAACTAAAAACCATCCAAGTTACAAAGTTGATATTCCAAGATCTACTCTAATCTGTCACCCAAATCCTCTTTAGAAACTTGGCTAAAAGCTAGAGAGACCACAAATCAATTTGTAACCGAATTACTAATAGCTACCACAATCTTATCCATACTACAGTATTTGTCTTCGAAGACTCTTCTATTTCTCTCCTTCCAAATGTTCCAATAGATAGCAAACGATAAGCAGCTCCAGAGAATCCTTGCTTTTTAGTAATGTTTATTGGCTGAAAATTTGGAAATTCAAACATTGAGGTGAAGAAACTCCACAAGAAGCCAGCTACCTTACAGTAAATAAAAAGATGTGTAACAACTTTCTCCTATTCTTTGGAAAGAATACACATATTGGACATGCAAAAGCCCTTGGACTTCAAATGATCCACTGTCAAAATATTGTCCACTGCCACATGCCATGCAAAAGCCTCAATCCTTGGAGGGATTGGATTTCCCCAAACACCATCAATCTGAGCTTGATCTCCTTAGTTGCAGTTAATCATTGGCCCTTGTATCGGTTAGATGTTAAGAATGTTTTTTTGCATGATAACCTTACGAAAGAAGTATTTTTGGATCAACCACCTGGGTGTTCAGGGGGAGTATAGGGGTATGGTTTGCAGGTTAAAGAAGGTGTTGTATGGTCTAAAACGGTCTCCACGTGCTTGGTTTGGCAAGTTCAATGAAGTGGTTATGGAATTTGCCTTAGATAGATGTCAATCTGACTATTTTGTGTTTAACACGATTTTTGATGGTGGTATTATTATCATTGTTGTCTATGTAGATCATATTGTTAACATAGGGAGTGACCAAGGTTTAAAATGTTGATGAAAATGGAAATGTCGCTTACCAAAATATAGGACATATGTTGGAAATGTCGAGAGAAAATATTGTAAAAATTAAAGACATTGTGGAAATATGCAATGATATTTTGTAAAATGATAAAAGAAGCATTAATACATATTTCTAGACCATTATCTTATTCCCATAAGAAACTAAGATCAATAACAAATTAGTAAATGACGATTTACTAATTTATTATGCATTTTGATGTTTTTACAAGGTTATCCGATATTTTCTTTTCTTATTTTTAATTCTGATTTATTATAAATTCTAATATATTTATTTCACACTAGTAAATAGAAATACATTTATTCTGATTTTTAAATATTAAAGTTATAATACATTATGTTT